AATATCACCGCTCGCGCCCACCGAGGGTAGCCTAGCATGTTCCACCCCTCCTTCCGAGCGAAAAGGATGCGCGAGGGTCGTACAAAAAGCTAGGGGAACTCTTGATCGCCCTCTCGCTCCGCGCGGAGGCTCGAGGGCTCTTCCTGCAACCTTCTTCGACCGAGACCCAGCGACCTAGGCTCGCACGCGAAGGGCTTGGCAAACAACCCCTCCTTCTAAGCGAAAAAAGATGCGCGAGGGTCGTATAAAAAGCCGGGGAACTCCCCGATCGCCCTCTCGCTCCGCTGCGAGGCTCTCAAGGGCTCTTCCCGCAACCTTGCCGAGACCCAACGACCTAGGCTCGCACGCCAAGGGCTCGACAAAAACAACCCCTCCTTCCGAGCGAAAAGGATGCGCGAGGGTTGTACAAAAAGCCAGGGGAACTCCTGATCGCCCTCTCGCTACGTGTGGAGGCTCGGGGGCTCTTCCTGCAACCTCTCACACCCCAAGGGTCGGAAAAACATGACGAAAAAGGGCATCAAGCCCATTACGATCCAGGGGTACGAAGGCTGGGCCATCCAGGGCCTCGACAGCCGCCCCAGGACAACAGAGTCAGGGACAACTATGGGCAAGCCCGTACACGGCCGAGGCCCAGGCAAGCGATTGCTTGGGATGCCCTAAGTCGTGTCCGAGACCAGCAGGAGTTCTCTAAAGGGGATCCCACCGTAGGGAGGCACCGAGCCCCTAGGGCCAATCGAACGGCCCTGGCACCCACTAGAGAAGCCTTTTGGTACTTTTTTGGAGCGCGTCTCTGGACCACTAGCCGACCCCTATTGAATGGGGCACGGGCCTCCACTCGGACTTACCTGATAAAAGCTCACCGGAAATATCACCGCTCGCGCCCACCGAGGGTAGCCTGGCATGTTCCACCCCTCCTTCTAAGCGAAAAGGAAGCGCGAGGGTCGTACAAAAAGCCAGAGGAACTCCTGATCGCCCTCTCGCTACGTGCGGAGGCTCGGGGGCTCTTCCTACAACCTTGCCGAGACCCAGCGGCCTAGGCTCGCACACGAAGGGCTCGGCAAACAACCCCTCCTTCCGAACGAAAAGGATGCGCGAGGGTCGTACAAAAAGCCAGGGGAACTCCTGATCGCCCTCTCGCTACGTGCGAAGGCTCGGGGGCTCTTCCTGCAACCTTGCCGAGACCCAGCGGCCTAGGCTCGCACACGAAGGGCTCGGCAAACAACCCCTCCTTCCGAACAAAAAGGATGCGCGAGGGTCATACAAAAAGCCAGGGGAACTCCTGACCGCCCTCTCGCTATGTGCGGGCTCGGCAGGCTCGGGGGCTCCTCCTGCACCCCAAACGAAAACAAGCGACCCGAGCTCGCTCTCATGGGTCTAGCAAATGCGATAGAGCGCCTTACTCAACAAAGAAAAAGCCCCTAAAGGAGTAAACTCACTCCTCTAAGGCCTCGGGGGCTACACGGCCAGGCCACGCACACACCCACCAGAATCATGAGTATAAAACAAACCCGACAAGAGCCACCGAGAAACAAAAGTCTCAAAAACCTCGGGAGAGTATCCCACACTCCCGTCTGAGGCTCGGGGGTTACTGTCGGATACCAGAAAATGGGGTACCCCAAGCAAAGATTGAAAAACTGCTTAGATCCTAAGAACAGAACCAACGGAATAAACAAAGCGAGGTCTCGGCCGAAATCTCCGATTCGCCTTGAGACCCGATCGTCGAGCCCCAGTGAAGCGAACGATTCTCGACTTCGCCGAGACCGCCTCGCCGAGCCCCCTCGTCGAGGCCCCTCGCCGGGGCCTCGGAAGAAGTGCCGATCCTCCGATTCGCGCGAGGCCGGGCTCGGCACCACTCCCGTGACCGCCTCTTCGACCAAATCGCTCGACGATCAACGTCGCATCCAAGCGCCCAACCACTCCGACAGACGCACGATGGCACAAGATCAGGTGAAGTGATCGACTACACGCCAACGTGTCAACCTCTCGCCATCTGCAGCAGCCTGCAGCGGGGGTTACCGACCACCGTCTTGCCTAACTCCTGCACCAAGGACATCGCATAGCGTGGGGAGTCGAACGGGTTCCTCAGTAGCCTCGAGAATCGGCGGACCGACCGCTCCGGCTCGCCGCCCCCCTCGACAGGGCCTCGGATTCACTGATCTTACTCCGCCTCGCCCGTCCGCCTTGCCTGAGACCCCCCGGTAGGGCCTCGGACGAATTGGCCGCGCTCCGCCTCACCCAAGGCCGGGCTCGTCCCGCAACCTCGTCGCCTCCGCCTCAAAGGTCTCTCTGCGGTAGTCGCATCCGACAATGCGCCACCGCACCCACTTCGTAAGCCACGATCGGCGGTCTTGTGCTGCAACAGAGCGATGGGACAACGGTTAGATCACCCTTTTACCATCCCTTCATCGACAATACAGTACCGTATCCTCCTGTAGGCGCACGTCTTGCACTATTCCGCTGATGGCGCACCGAGACCAAGATTCGCACCTAGGTCACTTCTCGGGCCTCGACACGACGCAGCCTCGGCTGTGAGCCCTCGGCACGACGACCGGCTACGATGGCCGCCGAGCCTCTCGCAATCCACCAAGTCAACAAATGCGCGACATGTTACTTGCGATGGAGACCATACCGATTAGACATCTACGGAACTCCCACGACAACGCCATGCTTTGCTCCGAGAGTAAATCGTCATCGAATAGTCCGCTCCACGTGTAGCTCTCTTATGTACTCCTGGTTTCCTCCCTGCGGCTATAAAAGGAGGTGGCCAGGACCGTTTCTAGGGACGACGGATAGAGTCACGAACACTCGTATGAACAACACGCCTCATTCTGTAATTCATATCACCTCCCCTCACAGAGACCTGGGACGAACTCCCTCTCTCGCCTAGCTTGTAACCCCCTACTACAAGCACCCCGGTGCAAGGAATACAAGAACATCTTCTCAGACTGGACGTAGGGCATCCATTGCCCGAACCAGTATAAACCTTGTGTCTCTTTGCATCACCATCCGGAATTGGGAGCACGCAGCACAAATTCACTAGTCGGTTAAGGACCCCCGGTTCCGAAACGCCGACATGTTGACTGATTTGTTGTAAGAGAAAAATACTATTCGTTGGCTGAAAAAGTACAGCTTATAAGTCAAACAAACAGGACGAATCATTCTGAGGCTTGCTTAGTTGTACCACATGTCCACATGCATATGCCAACTTGTATTCTACTAGACCTGTCCATGTGAAGCCGCACTAGCCTGGAATTCTTTTCTTCTCGTCAGATGCACAAGATGCTCGGTGGGTCAGTGCATTACTGCGTGTTATGGGGAACACGTTGGTTTTTCCCCTCATTTCCCCACGATGAGAAAGCAGGGGATATTACGTAGTAGTTAAATTCATGAAGGAAACTATACATGGTGATGCACGCATTTATATCCATATCATGATGTTTAGAGCATCTTTAGCGGTCTCCTAGTATTCACCCTAATAGACAGGTATTGGCAGGGGCAAAAACAGGATCATCTCGAGAACCCTTAAATACAACTAGAATTAGGCCAATTAACAGTAGTTTTTAGCCTATGTATTACATTGGGCAAGAGGAGATTCTCTGTTTGGATAGCTATTTGGATAGCCTTATTACTGTCATGTTCGCTTGAGCTTATCAGCCTGATTTATCAGCCATGGAACAATGTTTTTCTCTCACAACAAATCAGCTTCAGCCGGCTTATCAGCCGCAGAAACCAATCAGCCGAATTCAATTTGTAACTATTGAAAGAGTTGCAGTCAGTATTCTAATATAGTTCCCTCAATATTCACCCCACGTGTCAATAGTCTCTCCTTCCCCTCTTTGAGTTATTCTTCTTTTGGCACGACTCTATTCCCATGTCCCTCCACCAAATCTTTTTAAGCTCCTGCTCCACCTCTTAGCAATCCATATCTCCATAGTATGATACCCCTTTCGTTTCAAATTATAAGATGTTTTGGCTTTCTAACATGCATAGCTTTTATTATGTACTTAATTATATACTATATCTAAATACATAATAAAAACGGCGTATTTTGAAAAGCCAAATCGTCTTATAATTTGGAACGATGGAGTACTTTTTATGCGGACAAGATGAGCTATCAAGGCACGGTTAGAGATGTTCTTAAAGCGGTCAAGAAAAACAACTTGGTGATGATTTTCTTGCTAAGCTGATATTTTATTTACAAATGCATTTCATTATTTTATATCGCGAAGACACGAACCCTATGAATGCGCATGCTAATGACCTAACTTGGACGTGTGCACCATCTTTGGATGTGGCTTCAACCCTAACAAGAAGTGCCGCGGTTGTATACAATATTTTGATCAACATGTAAAAATAATGTGTCCACCTCAAAATTAACAATATTGCAATTTGACTAGCTCTACGACACCACCACCATATTATGTATTATATATTTTTTATGTATAATAATATATACTAGACATAAGCCCATGCATTGTATCAGGGGTTATGATTTTTTGACTGAACCCATTAATCGAACGTAGACTCATGAGATCTGAGAACTTCATATTAGACATGAACACGTGGATCTAGTTTTTTATTGGAACCGAGTGGGACGCGTGAGCTCTAAACCGTGATAAAGCAGCTTTGTGCAGTTCACGTCGAAAACGGATTTCCCGAACTGGAAGGAGTAGAAATTGAAAAGAACACACGAAAGTAGTTCCGGTCTCGGACCAAGCCGCAAGGCAGCCCAACCAATCAGGAGTGGCAGTGCCCGTCCGCGTCACGCTCTCGTGGGCCGTGGCCGTGCGCCCCCACCGCCTCAGCGCGCGTTCTCTCTACGCGTATCCCCGCCTATATTTTATCTGGCGCCCACCTTTCCCACCCCAAAAAAATCTCCAATTCCCCACCCCAACGCGCTAACCCTAACCAGATTTCGCCGCTTCCTCCCCGTCGACCTCCCCCATCTCCTTCCAGCTAACCCTAGCCAAGCCCCCGAGATCTGCTCCGCGCGAGCAGCCATGGCGGAGACGCTCGACATGACCCTCGACGACATCATCAAGAACAACAAGAAGAGTAACTCCTCCTCCGGTGGGGGCCGCCGCAGCCGCGGCGGATCCGCCCCTGGCGGCGGCGGCAGCGGCGGCGGCGGGGTCGGGCCGACCAGGCGCCCCTTCAAGAGGTCCGGGAACAGGCAGGCGCCCTACCAGCCGCCGAAGGTACGAACGAATCGAACGGGCTGTTGCTCCGCGTCGCCCGGCGGAGGATGCGGGGGTTTCGGACTTCGCTGACTCGGGCGGGAGGAGATGGTCGGGTGGTTTTCTCACTGTGGTGTGACGCGATCGATCCAGGCCCCCGACGCTGCGTGGCAGCACGACATGTACCCTGCGGTCACCGCAGGAGGAGGCGGCGGCGGGAGGGTCTCGGGTCTCGAGACCGGCACCAAGCTCTACATCTCCAACCTGGACTTTGGAGTTTCGAACGAGGATATCAAGGTATATACTTCACGGGGTTGAAGGGAGTTCTGTTTTTGCTTCTGAATTTAACTTTAGAAGCCCGTAATAGCTGGCCACAAGTGCGATTGGCTAGATTCGCGCTCCTGAAGATCGAGTCCGGCACATATTTGCCTTTTGGGGCTATGTACTACCGCAGATCTATTGTGGTTACACTGGGCATCAGTAGTTGGTAGCTGTCGCATGTATGGTTTGTAATTGTGGCGTTTTGCTGTGACTTTGGTTAACATGTTTAGATATTGTTCTTGTGTTTCCTAATGGAGGTGTTTAGATCCAGTGGAGATCCATATCTGTGTATTGATTGTTATATGTTTTTCTCTAATAACTTAGTGGCTCTGCAGAACGCTATAGGATTTAAAGCTTTCATAATATGCTCTCTGCTTGAAACATGTATAAATATGCTCATGTTTTATCCACAAATTTGTACCAGTTTGGTTTGATTACTTTGCTTCTCTTGTCATGCTTATGCTTATTTGGGGTGACATCGGTTAAGTTTATTATCTGGTGCTAGTTCTGTTTAACTGTGATTTAACTTATGCCTGATATTTAAATTTAGTTATGTTCTAAGATCTCAAACTACAGTAAAGTTTATGTGGATCAATTAGTCTATTATTTCTCTTTGTAAAGTTGAATGCCTTGTTAAACATTATCTGACTAGTTTCGTATGCATTATGATGCAGGAGCTATTCTCTGAGCTAGGTGATCTAAAGCGCTACTCGATAATTTATGATCGAAGTGGGAGGTCTAAGGTGCAGATGCTATCTTACGGTCTTTTACCTGTCTCTTACATACACCTAATTTCCGGGTCTCTTACATTTGTTTTACCTTGTACCTCACAGGGTACAGCGGAAGTTGTATTCGCAAGGCGTTCTGATGCTGTAGCGGCGGTTAAGAAATATAACAATGTCCAACTTGATGGTAAGCCCATGAAGATAGAGATAGTTGGGACCAATACTCCAACTGCAGCTGCTGCTCTTCCCGTCTCTAATGGTGGCCATGCTAGGAATGCTGCGAGGAGGTATATTTCTCATCTGATTATTCATCCTGAATTATCAGTCCATATCAATATCATCTGTAGGAGCATGTTTAGCAGTATTCAAAATGATTAGAGGTTATCATGTTTTAGTTATTCATTGTTATATCAATTGTGTCAAAGAACAGCTCTCCTGTCCAGTTCCAACTCATCTCTGTCAATCTAACATGGCAAATAAAATGATATGATTTTGTTATGTAACAGCTATTGTTTATAAGTTATTAATGATAATTCTCATTGTACAGTAGGCTATTTTGACATGGGCTAAAATTAAGGCATGAAAATGTATGCGTTTGTATCATGTTATAGTTCATCTAACAAAATTTTGACGTTGGTGGATATTTCCCTAGTTGATTAACCTTGGTATGGTGCATTTGATCACCCAGAATGCTGTTAGATGTGGACTTATGTATAATTTAGCTTCACCTACATAGATGCCATGTTTCTTATTTCTTTTTAATCTAGCCTATTGTCATTATATAAAATTTACTAAATTACATTTAAATATCACAGTGCACCGAGGGGTGCCGCCCCAGCAGGTATGCTGCAGCGTAGACCCCATCAGAGGGGTGGGAGGCGTGGTGGTGGATCTGGTGGTGGTCGTCGTGGCAAAGAGCGCAGCAAGCCAAAGTCGGCTGAAGAACTCGATGCTGACTTGGAGAAGTATCATGCTGATGCGATGCAGACCAACTAAATACGTTCACAAATTTGATATTCGACATCAAATATGAAGCGCATTAGTCCTTTCATTCCAGCTGTATGTGCTACTATGTTCAGGGGACAACAAACCTTATGTTTGTGGGGGGTATTGCTTTACTGAATTTGTGGGTTTTATGTGTTTACAATAGAACTAGAGTTGGGTGATGCTGAACACTTCTATGGAAATTACTTGGTTGCCTTTAGTTTCTGTACCTAATGCTGAGGAGACAAGAATCATCCAAGTTGCTCAACATGTGAAAGTTGGTGATATATGAAGGTGCCCACATTTCCTTTTGACTCCCCACCATATAATGTATCTTGGAGGTAAAAGAGACTTGGCTTCAGATGTTCCCTGGTGATCTAGTTGTGCGCTTTCATTCTGGTATTGCTCAGACGTTTCTCTGCTGTAGTCCGGTTCATGTTCCAGCCATCTAAGTACGAGGTATGCATTTTTTTCAGCTGCTCAAGTCCTTTCCTAGGTTAATATTTGTGCTTTGTGGCAATGAGGTTAATGGCCCACCCTTTTTCATATTGCAGGTGGCTGTTGCATATTGTGAAACATCGTGATAATTATTTTGGGCCTACTCTGGCACATTAATGATTTCATGAGCTTCAAGGTGCCTTTCTTTTAAAAGTTGTTTCCTTGCATAATCTTCACCTCAGGTGTCCTCAAAGTCCGAGTCAACTGTTGACTTGGCTGTCACTAGTCTGATTGAAGCATCATGGTGCAAATCCTGCATCAAGATCTGCTATTGATAGCTTAGATATAGCCGTACTGTCAATGCCTCTACATCATTTTGGACTTCTAGGCCATCTTTGCGTATTTATGCTGTATATGAGCATATGGGGCATCCTCTATAATGGTTGATCTCATATACTGCGCTTTGGAGTTCCTTTCAACTTCGCTTTGGAGCCTTTGATGACACAAATGGAGTCATGTGCCTCTGCCCAGAAAATCAGTTTCTAACTGAAACTCTTCCCTTTTGCTTGCTTTCATACTTTGTCAATGGTGATGCCAGATGTGGAACTTATTCTAACATCAAACTTGGCTGTGTGATCCCCAGTGGCGGTGGTTTGAATCATCCTGGTTTCCCAATCCTGGGATTCTTGGCCACCGTGATGGCATTGATATAGTATATCATATTAGGTAATAAGAGTTTTGTTTCTTCCCATAACATCTGAACTGTTGATAATAGCTGTTGCTTGGGTGAGGTTGGAGTCTTTTCTTTTGTTTCCTATTACTATTGGTTCAGTTCTATTGCAAAACATGTCAATCTGTTGCGCTTTTTACTGCTTAATGATACATGGTTCTATCTGGTGAAGTCACCTTGTTGTGTGAAATGCTATGTGGTTCTATCTGGTAAAATAAAGCTTCTGGCTTCAAGTTCACAAGTATGAAAAGACCCGAGAGGGAAGAGCTGCGTGGAGAGCTCTGGATTCATAAGCAACTAGGTGATTGCTTTGTATTGTATTCCCTCGGTCTTAGAATTCTAGGATGCAACAGAATAGTGCAAAGTCATTATTACAATCTGAAGTCTGACCAAATATGCATAAAAAGATAAGATTTTTGTGTACCTAATGTATTAATGTATACCAATTCAGGGCCATATATATTTTCTATAAACTAGTCAAACTTGTAGGAACTGCATCTTTTTTGGGATGGATGGAACGGAGGGATGTAGAATTGTATCCTTTTAGAGACGGAAGGACGGATGTCGTATAGATGATAAATGGTGATTGAATTGTATCCTTTTTGCTACGGAAAGAAGGGAGGTAGAAGTGTATCTTTTTGAGACGGAAAGGACGGATGTATTAGATGATAAATAGTGATTGATATGAGTTGTATCAGTCTCTTGGGACGTAAGGGAGGTATAATTCATCCTTTTTGAGATGGAAAGGACGGAGCTTTAGATGGTAACTGTTGTGAAACATGCACCTCGTTGAATAAATCTCTCTTCAAGATTCAAGATGCAATTGTTGTGAAACATGTGCCTCTTTGAATAAACACCTTCAAGATATGCCTTTTTCAATTAGACACCTATTCAATATGTCGTCTCCTTGCACAAACGAAATGCTAATGCATTGCATATGTTGCTGTTGACTTGAGTTGTGCTGCATCTGCATCCCTGCATAAGATTTGGTGTAAACTAAAGCTAATACAAGTAACCGATCGTCATATTCATAGTGCATGGACACTTTTAATGTCTGTGTACTAATGTACAGTACAGAATATATCAGGATTACTAATGTATTATGATTTCAGGATTATTTCCTGAAATCATAATACATTTACCTGTGCTTTTGTACAGCTTCCTGTAGCTCTCCTGTGGTTGGCTTTTTTGTGCCGAGAAGATAAGAAAACTCGGCCATTTGACCTATGTATCTAAGTTAGATAGAAAATTCGAAGCTCGTTAGCTCGCTCGACTCAACTCGGTTCAGTTTGTTAGGATATCAAGCTGAGCTGAGTCGATCCAAAGATTTTAGCTCGTTTGCTATACCAAGCCAGCTCAGCTCGTAAGCTGCTCACGAGTTAACGAGCCCACTCTTCGAGGAAAATAAGCCCACAGTCGACTAGCGCGTCTGCCGAGCCACCCACAGGCCCAGGGGCACCAAACCTTAACGCTTCGGTCCACACATCGCCAAGACAAAGAAAGGGCAAACCCTCACCGCCTCACGCTTTCAGCGATCCTGCTTGCTTCGCTTACACGACAGCACTGGCCGCCAGCGCTTGCAAGAATCCCGCGAGGGCCACGACATCACAAAGACACGATCATGAGAAGCCCGTGATCATGGCCGGCGACGGGGCGAGACGCGAGGCGAGTCAAGCGACCGCGGCCAACACCTCTCCGCGACCCAGGTCTGGTCCGCACTCGGTCCTCTCTCTCCTTTTTCCTCTTGATCCCGGACGCCACCGCTCTCGTTGTTCCTCCTCTTGCTGCCTCCATCAATCTGCTGCATTCACTTTGCTTTCGTTAGATTCGGATTTCCCTTTTTCTTCCTCGGTGAAGTGATTTGCCTATCGATTGCTACTGACCTGCTGTGCTCCGGCCAGGCCCTGGCCCGCGAGCCAAACGAGCTAGGTTGAGCTGGTGGTCGAGCCAAGCTGAGCTAGCTTTTTGGCTCGTTAGCTATAACGAGCCAGCCAGACCGAGCCGAGCTGAGGGCTCGGTATCCAGGCCTACATGTATCATTCTTCTATCGTTGTCACTCGATGCCTGGGCCTTATCTAGTGCGGTGGTGTCTAAAGGGTTTTTCACTTTTTCTGTTGCTGCCTGGCCCATATGGTTTACCTTCGTTCTGACTTCTGAGTCGTGTCTTCTACCTCAACTCGATAACACACAGGCACTCCGAACAGAACGCAGGCCGGCGGCGGCGGAGGCAGGATCAGGTTCCTCACAGCCGGCGTTAAGACTGTCTCTAGCGACCGTTACCCAAAATACAAGATTCATTCCACATTTGAATAGCGCTATATGTAAATAGTTTAATATTTTTTTTTCTTCTTCGATAATAAGACCTAAAGAAGACCATGAAGAGAGAACGCTCAGATTTAGGATAAAACTAGAAAGACAGGCGCGGCTTTGCCGCGCCCTTGCAGTAGGCAACTAGCCCCTCTATATATGTCTCTAGGAATTTCTGAATTGAATCCCCTTGTTATCACTCATTCTGGAATCAAACTATGACAGCTTCAAGATCACAAGCAAGTAGTCTTGTAAATTATTTGGAGGCAGAGTAAGCATACAAGTTTGGAGAAGATTATCTCTGTAGACATCTCTTGCAATGATCCTTGTGTATGCAAGGCAATGCTCCTTGGACAAATGCACAGTTTGATATATGTGATGTTTTTCAAGATTCAGTTGTAGCTAGTAGATTTCTAATAGGCTATGTTGTTTTTCAGTAGACAATAAACGTATATTTGACGTTGAAGGCAACGCAGCCAATGTGGCCAGGAAGATCTCTGATGCAAGGGTTCGACCTTGTGTTGTTTCTTCAGCAGCAACTCCATGTCTTCGTGTATGCTAAAATTTGCCTGTCTTGTCGAAGAGTATGGAAGCATCAACAGATTGTATCTTAGTCTTAGTATCTCCAGGATAATCTACCACTTCTCTTTTGTAACTGTTGAAAATGTTTTGTTCAGTCAAAATTGAGATAAAATTATAACTGGAGGTGATTGAAAACAATTACCAAACTGAGTCTTCATGTCTCATGGTCTAAGGCAAAGACTATTAGAATAGGTAATTCTAAGATGATTCATGACACACACAACTAATGAGATCATCCACAATGAACATAAGATAAGTTGAAAAAACTATTTGAGGCCATCCACTATGAGGCTTACAATGAATACCAGGTTATGAACAAGCATCATTATTAGGATTTATAGAAAATATGCCTTGACATATATAGTTAGTACATTCGGTAACATCTCATGACCTAATCTTTCACATGGTTCAACAAATTTAGTTTGTGAAGTATGGTGAAATGGGGTGATGCTAATTTAGCTCATTGTAGGATGTATTAAATCATCAGGGGAAGAAGCAGTCGTAGCCAATCATTTATTTTAGAGCAGAAGTCACTCTAATGTATTCTTCCATACTAAGATCTACAAAAGTGGACCATGCTTTTTGTGAACATTACATGCCCTTGAAGAATTTGAAGTCCCAGAAATGAAGACAGTAAAAATCAAGTAAACACCATGATTTAAAGCCACGGACACCGAGTAAGCAAATACTATAGCCATGCTGGATTCACCTTGAGTGGCTTCTTGAGTGGCGATCCTGCTGTGGCCACCCCTCCAGGTTTAACATTCTTAATGCGGTTTGGCGATGGGGATGGAAACCGTTGCGGAGTGAGCGGTGTTGCCTTCACTTCCTTCAGCACAGAGGGAGACCTTTGCTTCCCTGCTTCCACCTTCAGCCCCACTTTCTTTCCCTTCCTGCAGAAACCAACATCAGCGCCGTAAGCAACAATCAGTACAACCTATACGCATAAGTTTGCATTGGGATGACTATTTGCAAATTACATTGGGCTTGGACTCTTTTTCACTGTTTCTTGTCTCGCCACCTCCTTCACGGTATCTGCGGGAACTGGATTGCTGACGCTGGCATCAGGAGATACCTTCTCCATCAAATCGCTCGGATTCCTGCACGAATGAAACTGTCAGGAGCCTCATAGAGAGAACCCGACAATTGAATTCCAGCATTCCTTCGATGAGGAGAGGTTTACATTGGGTTTGAGCTGTATTCCTCCTGTGTGTCTGTGACAGGCCAGCCGCCTCCAACCATCCGCTTCAGCTCATCGTAGAACTCCGAAATCTGGCCAAGTATATCCTTTCCAAAGAAGAGATTCCTGGCTGAGAGGGTGCTCTTGAGCTGCCTCGGCGGGGCGTACTTGTTGAGCAGCGCCTCCTTCTCAGAATTGTCCGGCCGCTTCTCCGCACTGGACTTGATGGCCTCCTTGGCATTCTTGTTCCACCGAGGGGCACCGAACGGCGGCCTACTAGTTGGCGCCTGTCGTGGGGGCGGCGTGGCCAGCGCAGGGTCCTGGTTCTCGCTGTCCTCCTGGAACCTCTTATTGGGCGCTGCCTTTGGCTTCGGCGGCGTGGAGGAGGCAACGGCGCCGCCGCCCTGCCACTTGAGATTGCTACTGCCGTCCCTGAGCAACGCACGAAGGGGGGTGAGAACGGGATTTGATCGAGGCGGGCGCGGCGCGCAAAGAACAAAAAGGGCCGCAAATCAAAAGATCAGCACCGCTCGTTTAGAAGCAAACTTCCAATGTTGCAAGAGAATCCATCCCCAAGGAAGAAAGCAAGAACCGGGCAACCCGTCGATCAGCGCGCACTGCATTGATTTGATCTCCTCGCAGTCAAATCATAACGGATCCCAACCAACAGGCAACAGGAGCACCGCCCGCGCGCCCGCCTGCGAGGGGGGAGCCAGCAAGAGAGCGGGAGGGAAGGGAGAGCGTACCGGGGCGGCAGAACCAGGCCTTGTCGTCGACGTCGGCGCGGCCGGCGTTGGGGTCGGTGAGGTCGGCCCAGTGCGGGGCCTCGATGCCCTCGTAGGTCTCGTCGCGCCAACAGGCCGCAGCCGGCAGCCCCGGCCCGGCGCACCGCAGCAGCCGCTCGCGTCGCGGCCCCAAGCCCGAGCCGGCCGGCTGTCGCCGCCAGTGCCTCGCGCACGCGCAGTCACCCGCCCACCGCCCGCCGCCGCTGCGCCTCGCCTCGTCGCCCGCTGCCGCCGCCGTGCCTCGAACAGGAGCTGCCGCCCACCGAGCCGGATGCGCGCTAGGGTTTGGGTCGAGGTTGGGGAATTGGACGAACAGCCGCTCGACGGATGAGCCCAAGAAGGTTCCCGAGGTTTCGGGTTTACAGCGAAACGGGTAGAGACCAAACCGATCCGCAATCGAACGGCCACCATCGCAAGTTCGCCAGATCGAACGGCTCGCGGCTTAACGGGCGACGTGGCACGATGGATAGTCCGCTTTTGAAAGCAGGATTAGTATATAGAGATTTGGATTCTGACAACTAGTTCATGACAAGTGCACTAACAATTAGTCAGCCTGTTTGGATTTTTAGGAATGAAAGTCAACTAGCTAGTTCTACACATTCAAATAGTACCTTTTTTTTTGCGAATTACATAAGTATAGACGCACTCACTATGCAAACCCTGCCCCTATTTTTATGGGATTATAGATGTGTGCATGTGTACGTGCTGCTAGGCCATGCAAGAACCCGATTTCCCAGACTGCGGAATGGAGAACTCGAGCAGCCAATGGTGAGTGAAATCACAATCCGACTTTGCCGATTTGCTGCTCCCGCCTCCCAGCATGTTGACCAAGGTAGATCTCACGAAGCACGTACAGCTGCAGCCTGCAGGCCATCACTCAACTGTCGAGGAGACGTGTACATTATTCTCTGGAGTATTCGCCAGAACCCAAAAGTATACGAGGCTCATTAGGTTATGAGATGGTTGGGTACTCTTCTACCACGTGACGATGGCGCTGAATTAACGAAATAACTTTGTACCCTTGCTTGGCCGTATCAGCTGCTAAGATCCTGTTTGTTTCAGCTTTTATCTAACTTCTGACAGCTAAAAGTAAGAATCTAAAACAGCCTAGCTTTTGGGTTGGTTTTTGTGGTTTGAGCTTTTATCTAGCTTCTGCCAGTTAAAAGTCAGAAGCTGAAACAATCTAGCTTTTGGGTTGTTTTTTGAGAAGCTGGAAAGCGAGTTTTCGAGTAAATCAACTAAAAGCGAAAAGCATGTTCTGAGGCTTCCAAAACCCAGCTATTGAGACTAAAGGCCAAAAGTTGCGACTCAAACAAAGGATTCAACGATCGAGAGCCATATAAACGTCGGGGATGATGGTTGAACTCCAAGCTATCCTGCGCAGACGCCGTGGTGCCGCCGCCGCCATGGCCACCACCAGTCCACTACCGTGTGAGGGCCGTCGCTGGTCGCCGCCACGCTGCAGACCTCCTTGGTCGCCGAGTGCGGCCGGACGGAGCTGCAGCGGGTGGATGGGAATGTGCAGCCCATACGGCGCCTGCCTGCGGTGGCATCATAGTGAACCGTTGAATGGAAATATCTATAAACCATGAGTTGAAACCAAAATATTGATCGGTTTGGGTGGAAACGCTTTGTTCGTTTTGCCTCCAAGCCAAGGGGGCTGGGAGGGATTGAGGAGGATTAAATCCCCTACAAGTCAAATCTTCCTCAAACCCCTCCAATCCAGAACTCTGAAATAGGTGGCTTGGTTTGGTTTCTTAATCGTGAGTGTTTCTTAACCGTGCTGGTAATCAAATGGAGTGTTTCTAATCGTGCAAGGCACGTTCTTGAAAAAATAATCGTGCTAGTATAATGGAGTGGTGTGGGTTTGGCACGGATTTCTACCCATTAGCAGGGCTAGTTGAACATGCGGCTACGCTGGGCGCTGGCTAGCTCCACGGGTTCTGGATATACAATATCAAGAACAATCCAGCAACGCTGCTGCATAAATTCCGGAGGGAGGATTGATCGGTAACACAGAACAGATCGAAACGAAGATGATTTGATTTTGGCTTACAAACACCATAAACAAACTTCTGAAGAAAAAAAGGAAAGAAAAGAAAGCACAGTGCAACAAAGAAATTGAATGCACAACAGAATGACTTTATCGTGTTCATCGGTAACCACATCTCAGCATATCATCCACTATATCGAACATTAAGGATCTACGTGTTCTGTTAAAATTCGATGCATAACAAAATTGACAAACAAGAGGTATGCCTGTCAATGTTCCAGAAGTATCGACCACAACTACATACCACACCCAAAATTATATAGCTAATTTAGTGTCTAATAATAACCAATACCTCAATGTCCATTGTATCCTAAATCCTCAACTAGCTGGAACCTTCCTGTTAGGCTCAAAGACATACTTGATCAAAGAATCCTTGATGGACAGCAGCTGAGGAAACTCGGCCTTCAGTTTCAATGCGTCCATCTCGTTGTTGCTTCTAGGTGCGACTATGACCTTGGCCTGCTCTTCGAGTGTGAAGTTGATCCACTTGAAATCAGCACTGATGTATTTCTTGTACATCTCTAGAATCTCATTGTGGCCGACAACGCCAGGGTTGGTGAAGTTCCATATGCCCCTGCAGTCCCGTTTTGCCATGTCAATGGAGATAGGCAGAAGCTCATCCAAAATTGTCACGCTGTTGGGAATGTTCACCACCTTGTCGTAACGAGCTATCTTTGTGATGAAGTTACGAGGGTTGCTTAGATCTGATGATATAGGCATCCTGACCCTAAGAGTACAGACATTATCATACTCCTTCAACAGCTCTTCCACCTGCACCATGTCAATATCACACAAACTAGTTTCAGGCATTATGAAGAAGTAAAATCATTGATAAAAAGGAACAACCAAGCTGAACTTACCATTGCTTTCGTTTTAGAATAAAAGGAACCCGTAAAATTAGGCATGTCTTCCTCTTTAAAGCCAATACCAGATCCTTCAGGGTGCTTACAATCATACTCAAATATACAGCCTGTGGCATAATTAATCATGAGCAAACCCTGCTCATGACAGACATCGGCAAGATTCAATGTGCCTACAACATTGGTGCGGATGGTGTGCTGTTTATGGGTCTCGCACCAGTCAACATTCGGTCTCCCAGTGACTCCAGCAGCATTGAAGACATGAGTTGGCTTCACATTTCTAATGTCCTCCAACAGCTGAGAGCGCTCCTCCAAGCGTCCTTTCCCATACTCATATGGAATCCCTTGCTTGTCACAAATCTTCCCAAGGAGGCCACCAATCCATCCAGTCCTGCCATAGATTAAGAACTTGTACAAAGGCTTTTCAGTGGTCCTTTTGGTACTAGTTGCAGGAGCTGTTGTGCTAGCTTCAGCTGGTGAAGAAGTCAGAGATTTGATTTCCTCAGTCCAGTTATGCCTTTCAACTCCAGGAGTCATCAACATCCTTGGGTGAGGGAGCAAAGCACCAGTAACATCTCCCCAGTAATCAGGATTGGTGGTGTACCACTCAATTGTCTTCTTCAAGCCCTCTTCCCATGGTGTGCACTCTGCCCATCCCAGTCTCTTCAGCTTCTGATCATCCAGGAAGTACCTCTGGTCATTGAAGGGTCTGTTCTCAACAAACCTGATTACTTTCTCAGTATCCAAGCCAAAGAGCCTGCAAATGTCTTTGGCCACATCAATCACCCTCCTCTCCTTCACAGTACCAATATTATACACATGTCCAACCTCCCCTTTGTGAAGAACAACCTCAAAAGCTTCAGCCACATCCTCACAGTACAAGTAGCTCCTGACATTGGAACCATCTCCATGAATTGGAAAAGGCAGACCTCTCATGGCCAAAAGAATGAATTTGGGGATGAGTTTCTCAGGGAACTGATTTGGCCCATACACATTGTTGCCCCGAGTGGTAATCACAGGAAGACCATAAGACCTTCCGTATGCCATCACAAGCATTTCAGCCCCAGCTTTTGTAGCTGAATATGGATTTGTTGGAAGCAACTGTGAGGCCTCATGGTTACCAACCACAGCATCTTCATCAGTTTCTCCATAGACCTCGTCGGTACTGACATGAATAAACCTCCTGATCTGACCAGTAACCTTTCAAGCCTCAAGAAGGACGTGTGTACCATATATATTGTTTTTTGTGAACTCAAATGAATTGCCAAAAGAATTATCAACATGAGTCTGAGCAGCAAAGTGCATGATGGTGTCAATTGACTCTGTGACCAGAAGGTGGTTCACCAGATCAGCACTTGCAATGTCACCCTTGACAAACTTCAAATTTGGTGAAGCCCGCGAGGGGTTGAGATTCTTTAGGCTGGAGCAGTAGTCAAGCTTGTCGAGAACAACAATCTTGTAGTGCAAGTAGTTCCTCACCAGGCGGTTGGCGACATGCGATGCAATAAAACCAGCAGCACCGGTGATGAGAATGTTCTTGGGCTCATAAGTCGCCATACTTGTCTGATAGTTCTCTGACCTATTATAATCTGTTGACAAACACAATGAGATCAGTTCTACTCTCACAAGGACTGCTCATCTGGTAAAGTACAGAAATTACAGATAAAAAGAAGAGATTTGGTTGCCATCACAGGCGAATTGTTTTAAACATGGACACAATTAAGTAATAGTAATAAAATGTACTATTCGGATCTAATCTGAAACTAACAATGACCCCCAGAACAGACAAACTCTATGTTCATTTCAGATACGTGGGGTATCACGCTCTTGCCTAAGACTAAGAGTTTTAAATGCTACACAATTAACAATACCAGTAACGACCATTAATGCTACAAGTAAGCATAATTAGCTCGGTTAGGCAGAGCAAAAAAACAGACCACCCTCACGATACTATCCTCAAACCTAGTCACCTCGAGAACCAACTCTGCAACGCGCGAGGCAACCAATTCCATCGGCCACCCTTTCGCTACGAGCCTAGGAATGGATCACATTGCCGCCGACTGAAGCAAACGAGGAAGCAGGAAGTGCCGGTCTGTCGGATCACTCTGCCCACCCACACGCGGCGAGCCACGAGGAACAGATCTACCGCGCTCGCCAGTCGCCGCCACTGCGCGAGATAATAATTCGAGAATCGGCGAAGGGACCAGATTCAAGAGCAGGAACTCACGAGGAGCGGTGGCCGAGATCCAGGAAGGCCGCAGTGGAGGCAGACCAAGCCTGTCGCGGAGGCGAAGGACGTCCGCGGGCGGGCACGAGCGTCCCGTGCGGGCGGTGTCGGAGGGTGGAGCGAGGGCGGGAACCACGGGCCGACGATCACGATGCCTGCCGCGACGGGGATGAGATCGAGAGGGAGGGGCCGTGGCCGTGGCCGTGCTGGCGACTATAGACACGGGGCGCGGAACCCTGTTCCTGACTCCTGGCCGCTTCGCCGCGTGCTTTCTACTCTTGCTGGCGGAGACGCGGAGTCGGTGCCCGGCTGCCCGTTGCCAAGCCAGGCCCAGCTCAGCCTCAGCTTCTGACGGGCGGACCACGGGCGGGACGGGACGGCGGTAGGTGGGAGGCGTCTCTATCGCCTCTCGCGCCACGCGGATGGCGGGATGGGGAATTGGGGATGGGTAATTGGGGATGGATGGGTAATTGGGGATGGTGACGCGGATGCGGATCTCAGCGGCGCCTCTTCTAGAGAAATTTTCCCTTTTTTCTGGTTTCCTTTTATATTTTATTTTTCTTTTGAAATCTGCTGCTCTACAGATATTCGCTCTCTAACGCCAAGATAAAACCGTCTGCGTGTGCCTATGCCGCCGCCGCTGTGCTGTGCACCTGTGGAGAAGAACAGACGACAAGCAAGGATAGAGATAGGGAAAGAGAAATATGCCATATTCGCTTGTGTCACGAGTCGTACTATTCCAACAAATAAATAGTATTTTTTTTTACAATAAATTAACGAAGAATACTTTTAGTTATGGTTTTTTAGCAAAACGAATAGGACCATAGTTAAATATAAAAATGCCTGCCACGTGCCGTATAAGCAAAATATTATCAACGACGCATCGTGGAGTATGGATCCATGGTGAACAAAAATTAATATAAAAAATCTAAAATATATTTTTAAAGTTCATGTCCTGTTCGCTCGAACTACTTCAACAGTATTTTACGATAAACGAACAATATTTTTCTCTCACAACAAATCAGCATAAGCCAAATTTCAGCGACACGTTCTTCCAAGTTCAAAAATTGCTTGTCTTCAATTTTCTTTCCTCCTTGCTAAATTCTTAAGTATTATTTATTTATCTTATTTTTGAAAATTGTTATTTCTTATCTGGTTGTCCTTTTTTTTTTTATTCCACGTTGATGCAGGGACTGTCCCGGCTGTGGCTCAACCGCTACTGCTACAGTAAATTCTGAGATTAGAAAAGCCACATCGGTAGTATAGCAGCAGCGGTTGCAGCCACAGCCGAATAGCCCAGTGGCTATTTGTCCTTGTTATCCTATTCCATATTCTTTTTCCTCTCAAAAAAGTTTATTTGCTATAATCTTGTTCAAAAATCTAGATGACCCCGCACCAAGAACATTGGCTACAAATAGCATAGAAGTTCTAATGATGTTTACCTCTCACTGTTTCTTCTCTTTTGTTTTGAGGCTCTTGCCGAGGAACCAGCTAGGCGTCCTAGGAGCACCTCCCTCCTAGCCTCCCCCAGCCGCCGTCGTCATCATCCGGCGTGCAGCGGCGGCGGCCGAGGGGAGCCCCAAAAAAAGGGTGCGCTTGCAGCCTCCTCCCTCACACCTCTCTCTCCTTCTCCACTGTTCCTCCACTTCTTGTCTAGCGTCTTGGGCGTCCGGTCGAGCGGATCTGGGCACCCTGAAGCTGGATCTGCTACCTCGACGCCGGAGCCCGACAGGTGCCTCTCTTGGCGAGCGATTGGCGGCGGGGGCTGGGGGTGCGGTGGCCAGTGGCCAAATCTAGCCGGCCCTCGGCCTGGGGCCCGACCTCCACCACTAACTGCCACCATCGGCTCCCCTAGCCAACAAACGTGTCACCCGGCCTCCTCTGGCCGGCCAACGGCCTAGGGCGGCTAGATCTACAGGCCCATGTGGCCAGGCCCGGGGCGGCGGGGCCGGCCCTCGGCCGGGATGGGGACCAAGTTGGCGGCAAGGGCCACCGAGCTGGCATGGAGGCGGCGGCTTGGCTATGGCCTAGCTAGCTGGGCCGTGGCCGGCCTACCCCTATTGCATCCAGATCTAGCTTCTGGGCTGTCTGCGAGCTGTGGCCGTCTGTATCGGGTCGGCGGTCCGATGAACAAGTTTCTTGGGTGAAAACTTTGCCCGCGCGTCTTTCTTCGGTTCGACAATGATGGTACAGTCTGTGCCATCTACCTTCTTGAAGGCATCGTTGAAGTCTCTGTTCGTCATGGTGGTTTTGGGACGGAAATTCCTCTCGTGCTCTTTGTTCAACATTGTTGGAGTCTGTGGATGTCATCCCCTTCTTGGAGGCCTCATTGGAGCACTTTTGCCGCTAACTCGCCTCTCGCCGGAGTTGCTTCGATCCTGGTTGTGCCGTGCATGCGTGTGCTTCAGCTCTTTCTTCGCTCTGGTCTGTCCAGCTCGGATGTTCGGTGTTGCCGCAGTTGTCTGGTTCTTTGCAATGGATACATGGTCGCTTGCGCTCTTCTTGGCGGATGACGGATGCTTTGCCGTCATTCTTGCTCGGGCGGATACTTTACTGCCGACGTCGCTTGGGCTCCGCTGTGCACATGATGCCCCCACTTGCGGATGCTTTGTCGCGTTCCCTGGCAGATGCTTTGCCGTTGTGTTGCTTGGGCGGATACTTTTGCCGTCGTGTTGCTTGGGTGGATATACTTTGCCGCCGTTCTTCTCTTGGTGGATGCTTTGCCACCGCGCTTCACCTCCTTTGTTGGCAGCCTAGCGTTGATGTATTTCTCCTTTGCAGGTCCAGTCGGATAGGGTAGTGGTGGACGAGTCTCCCCCTTCCGCCGTTCTTTCTGTTATGTTTGTCGTTTAGGTTCGTAAGCATTTTCTCTGTGGTTCTATAACCAGCACTATGGGTACCCATAGATGCGTTGTGTAAGCCGTTCTCTCAGCACTCTTTCTTCTTAATAAAATACGCGTGAAGTCGTGTTCTAAAAAAATGTTCACCTCTCATGGAGGCTACAAATAGCATAGAAGCTCCTCTGATGATATTCACCTCTGAACCCAGGACATCAAGCTAGAAGAGCAAGTTGCGTCTATCACTGTTGTTTCACGCGTGGGCTTATGCCCCGTTCATTACTCGAGCATTACCTTCTATTGCTGATGTGTTTTTTTTCAGCGAGGGACTAACCGGGTCTCGCAAGGCAAACCCAGCGACGATGTGAGGGAGTCGGCCGACCCCTTGACGTCTCCTGTGCCATCAGGAGACTACCAGCCCGATCAGCCAGGGCTGGCTGGCTGGCCAGCCCCTCACATGGATATTATTTACATAAACCAACCAGCAGTATTTCTCTCTCATATAAATGAACCAGCAACGATACAAACCAGCCAACCGAACAAGCTATAGGTTAGCTCCTATGTTTTCTTCAAGTAGTATGTTTAAGGTTCTTACGTCGCCTTAGGACACCCGTAACAGTAAGAGCTAGGTACTAGCTCTAAGCTAACATCTTCAATAGTGTTACTTTTTGGTAATGACTCTTAGTATGATTAGGCTCACATGATCTTGGAATGTGTATATAAGAGCCTAGCTCTTGATAAGAGCTAGCTTTTTTGTCTATTAAAATATGAAAGAATGCTTAAAGCGGGCTCAAAAGTTGATTATTAAAACTGCACTATTGAAGCCCCCTTTGGAACGTGGGATAGCAAAAGCTTAGGGAGGGGAAAAGGATAGGAATTTTATAGGAATTCAATCGTAAAACAGAGGATTAAAACTATAGGAATACTGTAGAAGATAGATGTTTGAATACTCACGGAAAATTCATAGGAATAGGAATATTAGGAACTGTATAACCCACATTTATTCATTTAATTAATGGCCTGGCAGATCACTTTCCAAACCGATTACTTTAAATGCACTTGTTCCAAGGTCTACAGGGGTGTACTAATCACTAGTGCTGCCTCGGTCCTACACAAGCAAGAGTAAAAAAATGAGGTTAGAGTGGATGTTTCAATTCCTGTGGAATACGTTCAAAGTCACCAGTGAAGGAAAATTTTCTAAACCTTTCCTGCGCATGAATCCTGCAAACCAAAGAGCTCTATAGTATCTATTCCTAAGAATTGCTGGTTCCTGAGTTTTTCCTTTGAAAATCCTCCATTCCAAAGGAGGCGTTAGTCTTCAGGTTGATAGTAGATATGGAAGTGGCAATGCGAATGCCACCAACCCGGTTCACGTCGAAGCTGGTTATCACATTCAACATCGATTGGTGTGGTGAGTCCAGTGAAACTCACTTTATATTTACGGCTCAAGATCTCGCATCCTTAAAGACACGTATAGATCAGTCAATTGAGAG